TAAAATTTTTATTTCAAATTAAAAATTTCAAAAGTTAATATAAATTTATTACAAATTACAAATAAAAAAATTATCATTTAATTTTAGATTGCCGACCAAAAATAATTTGTTTTCATAAGAAAACGAAAAAAAAAATTGCGTTTTCTCACGCAAACGCAAATTTTTTTTTTGAATTTTCTATTAAAACTCAATTTAATTTTTCGTTTTCTGTGAAAATATAAAAAGTTATAGAAAACTCAAATATAAAAATTTCGTTCTTTATTTTTTTAAGTCAATTTTTATTAGGCTCCTTTTACTCATTTAAATATAAACAATGATCCCTCTTAAAATCTCACATTTTCTTGTCGGACAATGTAGCAATTAGTAATTGAAAAACTTCACAGGGAACACAGAATAAATCTGGACTAAGTCGTTTGAGAGGTCTTTTTTACTGCTTCTTAAATCAGCTTTATTCTATAAAAATTTTAATTTTTGTAATAAAAAGTTTCTTTAATCCCAAAGTTTCATTGAGGACGGATTTCTTACTATTTTTTAAAAAAATTTGTATAAAAATCATCTCAAATGAAGCCTAATTCAAAGAGAAAAAAAAATATTGAAAGATCCTAACAAATGGCCTGAAGTATTTTGGCGGTCCCCAAAGAGTGGTAATGGTACCCACGAATGAACAATTGGTAATAAGCTAATTAATATTAACTGTTATTTTAAGTTTTTTTTTTTTTTAATTATCGAGATATATGAATACAAGTATGTAAATGATTTGTATATATAGCTTAAATTCAAATGAACCAAAAACACTAACATGTCCGCAAATAATTTTAAATATAAGCAATTTTTAAATTATTACATTATTGAAATCGATTTAATCGGGCACAAATCTTGATGCATTGTTGAATTAAGAACTTCCAAAGTTAAACACAAGATATATCATCGTAAGTGTAATTTCAACAAATTTAGGCTTTGTTTGAGATGACTTTCTTGCTACTTCTTGAAACAGCTTTTTAGCATAAAAAATTTAATTGTGTACTAAAAAACTGTTTTAAGAAGCAACAAAAAAACTATCACAAACGAAGTCTTAGTCAACACCTTTTTATATGTATGATAGATATTCAAAATAAAATGTTAA